ATATATATTTTTAAACAAAGCGGAGTGTGGATGACATCATTTGGCACCGGACTGGAGTTGTGACAGGCAGCCGTGGCCACAGGCTACGCTCTACCACTTCTATTCCTTTAAGGGCAAATCAAGGGAACTTATTTTATAGATCAAGCTCTAAAGGGGCCATGGCCCTTTTTGGCCCCTCCAAGAACTGCTCATGCCAATCGTATTTCCTTTCATTGCTTTGCACTGGTCTCCAGGCTTATCAAAATTTGATGGAACAGACATTTTGTTTCTCTGACCATGCCGTTACTGAGCTATTGCTTCTGCAGAATTACTGTGATCTGAAAAAAAGTTTTAATTTCAGCATTTTCAAACTAGTGTTTCATGGTACACATTTAATATTTACAACATAAAAGTTAACATAATTATCTTTTTTAACAACATGCTCAATGCCTCTTTTTTTTTACTCAGTGTGAAGTTATTTTTTTCTTTCAATTCAGTGTTTATTTTGACAAAAAGTTTTTATCAGAGAGTACACCTAAAACTGTGAACATGTTCAGGAATGTTTGTCTGGTGTTCTTCTTTGCAAGGCTAAACTTAGCAGGTGAATGATAGAGAGACTCAGCAAACATAAAACTGATTAACTCTGGACTGCACCAGGAAGTTTCTCGATTTGTCACCATGACATTTGAAGCCTTTTTTTGTATTCAAAGTGTACAAATATAAACAGAACAGTTCTTTGTTTGACCTTGTTGTAAAACCCCAACAGCAAACCCCATCCTGTTTTTAAATGATTTACGATAAGCGATGTACCTCGACAGATCAAGATTGAGTAATCAAACACCCCTGTTTGACTTCAATGGGTAGAACCATGGGGGTGAAAATATACAGTATCAGTTTTATTTTACTTACTTATAACCATGAAAAGAGTCTAACTTACCGACAAACAGTGAACTTCATACCTGAATGAATAATCCTCAAAAGGACATGGGACAAAAATGTCCCACTTCCAGTACTATCATAAAGCATGGCGGAAGGACCCATTATTCAGGTGAGACAGACAGTGGGAAAGTTAAATTTTTTAATTTAACAAAGAGCACAGAACACTGAGCTGTGGATCTGCAGCGGCTGCAGGGGGAAGTGGGGCACTACACATCACTGGCACTCTTTTAAGGGAGGAAACAGAGGTATGTGACCACAATAATCTGATGGAAGATCATTATCCAAGTGAGTCACCTGGTTTAGTTCAGTCGAACTCCTAAGATTGAGGCAGGATCCAGCCGATGAACTGCCAAACAAGATCAGAGTCCCTAATGCAGCAGCCTCCGTGAACAGGCGGAAGTCCGAGCAAGGTCAGGGAAACAGTTCAGAACATCTTGGTTCTGAGATCCAGGAGTCTGTAACCCTATCACGGGTTCCGACCAGAACAGGAACAGACAGATCCAGGGTTCCAGGAATCCACAGAGCAGGTTCAGGGTTCAACAAGTCCAACAACAAGCTCAGGCAGAAACGTTCGGATGGAAACAGGCAGGCTCAGTTGAGAGGCAGAGACAAGACATGGTATCAGGAAAACTATGGAACTTTAAACTAGCTCCCTCCACCGAGTCAAAAAAGGAACAGGGCACGCTCAGATGACAAGAACTAGGACATGATCAGTAGACACTAAGACATGACTAAAAAACCCTCACTAACCTCTGGCCTTCGAGAATGAGAACATGAACTCTGGAAATCAGCCATGATCTGTGCAGAGCCGGATATAAAGCAGCAGGATCAGGTGGATAAGATGAACGGCAATTACTGACCGGGGAGAGCTCGGCAGGTGAGTGAATGAGCAATTAGGTCAGTTATATCAGAGCAGATCAAAACTGACGAGTACAGTTTTTCATTCCCAGCACCTACAGTAAGAATGTAGACAGACCAGCTGCCACTTTATAGAGCTGTGTATCTTTACTGACCTCCTAATTAAACTCAGTTACATTTTTTTTTGCCAACTTATTAATACACTTTGATGCATCTAAATGTGTTGCCATCTGAAACTGGTACCATTCATGACCTGTTTTCCATGTATTTAGCTACTAAAAGTTTCTGACGATTGAAATGCATAAAAAATAACTGCTTACGTTTAATGATGGTGACACACCTCATTAGTGGCCTCAAAGGTCCTGATATTCAAAGGCTCCAGATATGAGGTGCTTGCCCACACATTTTGTTTGCAATTATTGGGCCTTTTCTTGGTGATCTACAAGACTGCTGTGCAGATGGACAGACACTGAGAGTGGCCATATAAGAAAGATGAGGTTCAAAGCCTTTTTTTGGGGTAATAACGATAAAAAAATATTAAGAAATAATGATTATAATCCTAAATAATTAATTATGGATCACTTTACATATATAGCCTACATTTAAGTACTAAGTACAATCAACGATAGGAAAAAATTAAGTTATGCCTTATTTTATGTTATTTTCTATTGTCAAGATTAATATAATTTTTGCCTTCTTAGTTTTACTCTTCCTTGTTACGTCTTTTCAGCATTTTGCTATTATTTAAACCATGGTCTATTTTTAGTGGGACCTTAGGTTATGTTTTCCATGGCTTCAGTTAGCTCCAGTCCCTTCTCTTATCCTCCAGTTGTCCCCTTGTTTCATTGCCTATTTTATAGTCCTTAGTTTTATTAGCCTGGGTGCCATTCCGAACTTAGTCCCGCCCACAAGGTTTGAGGT